CGAAGATATCATCAGCTAAGTAGTCAGTGCTTCGTTAATGGCATGATTTATTACATACTTTTCTTAAACTTTCCGTTGATACAGGTAGAACAAGAAATGATTAAGAAACTATTTTATTTATACCAGTATTTGCAATAAACCTTATATGCATGTACAGACATGTAGCAAAATACAGCCCAAAAACGACAAATCTACTCGAAAAGCTTATGGGTAATATGTTTTATTACTTATATAATTGAATTGACCACAAAAATATTACTATCGTGAGTCTTGAAAAGTATAAAATGAATGCTAAATGTAAATTCTCAACACAATGTAAGAATTTCTACTTTCACAATTACCTGCAAGTTTGAATTTGCTCAATTAAATTACAAAATATGCGTATATTTGCTTTGAATTCTATTATTGTTGGGATATCGGCAATACTATATATATATATATATATATATATATATATTAATTCGTATATTTTAACTAATTTGATTCGTTCAGGGATAGTCACATGTTAAACTATATTTTCGAAGGTAGGTAGAAAACGGCGGATAGCAAAAAGCAAATTGCACGGTTATTTTTAGAATATCTAAAAACCGATATACTTTGTGACGTCATGTAATGAATTTTATGATATTGTTAAAAGTTTACAAAAAGTGTATATTTATGATCGATTATTTAAAAAACAAATCTTCAAATTCATAAGATGAACTAAAAACAACATAAAAATATATGAAATAACAATAATATGTTGTTATTGTCTAGGAGACAATATGATATCTATAAAATTCCAACAAATTCAAATGATCGAATAAATTACATTGACAATTTTAATACAAAAATGGTCGGAAATTAATAATATAACAATTATAGCCTTTGTATGAGGTCAATACAGGATATATCCACCCAAAGAAGTATATTGACTGAGGACGATATATCCGTATTGACCTCATACAAAGGCTATAATGGTTATATTATTAAGTTCAACATAAAAAAATATATGAAATAACAATCACTGACTAGCTGAAAACGTTGGATTAAAATTGTCAATGTAATTTATTCGATCATTTGAATTTGTTGGAATTTTATAGATATCGTATTGTCTCCTAGACAATAACAACATATTATTGTTATTTCATATATTTCTTATGTTGTTTTTTGTTCATCTTATGAATTTGAAGATTTTTTTTTCAAATAATCGATCATAAATATACACTTTTTATAAACTTTGGCCCTGTTATAGATTCGAGGTTAGGGAGCTACCATTTGATTTTTATGAGGGGGGGGGGGGGGGGGGGAGGGGGGGGGCTAGGATGAAATATGAAAAAAATAGGCAGTACAGGAGTTTTGAGTAAAAAAAAACGGCAGGATGAGACACTTTGCAAAAAAAAAAAAGGCAGGATAACAATTTATGTAAAAAAAAATCAGGATAAACTAAAAAAAAAAAAAGGCAGGACCGAATAGAGTGAACAAAAAAAAAGGAAGGACAGAGATTACAACTAAAAAAAAATGCAGGACACAATTTTTCATCCTAGCCCCCCATAAAAATCAAATGGCAGCTCCCTTAGCTGTATTGGACCCGAGACTCGAAGAGTCGAGGGCCAATACAGCTGATCGAGAATCTATAACAGGGCCAATACAGAAAAAACCAGTTCATAACACTTTTATTAAATGATTTTAATTATTTTAATAAGAATAAGCTGAGAAACTTACCGTGAAGAAGATACAGAATTTCATATCTGAACTTGTCTTTTCATTCACGTGGCATGGATTTTTTGTCAACATTGTCAGATGTAATTTCTGATTTCTCGTCCAAGTACTTAATACTATGCTATTACAATTCATTTTATCTAGCAAATAGAAAGTAGCTGGGAAGAATAAATCAGACAGTTTAACTATTCTTACTCTTGGATCGTCTACGGTCTGATGATTGATCAACGGAAATGAAACAGTGTCAATAATCGAAGGTCGTACTCGAAAAGGCTGTGAAATATTTCCGTTTCAAGACTTCAATACGTTACAAAACACTGAACATCATTTAAACTTTTTATTTTATGATTTTAAGTTAAAAAGATATGATGCAAATGTTTTAGCTAAACAATACGTCCAAAGTTAAGTAAGGCGTAAGAAAATTGAAACCGGAAGTGAACGTCCCGTATTAGCCCATGGGCCAATACGGCTTTTTTCCGTATTGGCCCTGTCCGAAAAGCAATATTAACTCTTGAATTATATCGACAGGCCAACGTCATCAGTATTGCACATGCTGATTTATCCGTATTAGGGCTTATTTCCCCATATCATTTAATAAATCCTTGTATCGAACTCATACAAAGGCTATAATTGTATAATAATGTATTTATTCATGCCTCCTTATTTAATCATAAATATGAGCGTACTACATACTATACAAAAAGAGCTGTTTATAATAGAGGTCGATCAATTTAAAACGTACTATCCTTGAGTGAAATATCGTTGAATATGTGTAGATGCTGCGCTTACGAGGTACGTGGCACTATGTGTGTAACACATATAAATGTCCAAGTTTAATTATCTCGAGTCTGGAAATAACCGAATCGAGTGCACCTTATTTTGAGCCGCATGGAATGTAGAAGTTTAAGTCATTAAACTTGGTATGTTTCGAAACATAATGTAGTGCAAGATTTTTAAGAAATGAAGAAAACTCAGCTCCTTATCGGAAACGGTATAAATCATAAATCAGACATGAAGTAACAAAAAGGGGGAGACAGGTGTGACAGGTCATCGCAAAAGGTAGGCGCGGTTAGTGATTTATTTTGCCCCAATATCAAGTTCATTATTTCAAAACGAAAAATACTTCAAGTTAATGAATATAAGTGTGAGAAAGTAGAATAGAACGATTTGTACAATTTTGCTATTGAATAGCCAGGCATGCATAGGATGTCTTTTTTTCGGTGTTGCATTTCGGTAAATTTTATTGTCTTCGTGCCATTACCAATATTTGTTGATTTTCACAAGCCTACGTTAGCTAATGATAGAACCCTCTTTTCGAAATACACCACCATTGTCAATCTAGTAAAACTATAAATGTTTTAGCTATAGGTTTCCATGAAATGAACAGAATAAAGAGTTTTGATACGCAACATAAACTTAAACTCGGGATCAAATATTGTGTTTTGTTATATCTCCAGAGACGTTAACGTCAGCATTTCTGATATGAGTGGATATGTTTAAAATTGACCGACCTCTAATAAAAAATAACTCACTAATGTCGATGAATACTATTTAACCAAACAGCAATGCAAAACAAGTGTGATGAATGTAGTGGCATGCCCATTTACTTGTTCTATACATTTAATTTACCATATATATTTTGTTTGAAATGTATTCGATGCTTGGCGTTTTCGGGAACGGTGCCGTGTTTTTTTTGTTGTTCATGGATTCAATATTAAAAAGAAAGATGGCCAGTTTTCATGTCGTATTTGGAAAATTCGGATTTACTTAGAGGTCTTTCTGGCACATTGTCTGCTGTATCTACAACACTTAGACAGGTTGAAATACAGCTAGCAGAATGTGCAAACTTGGAACGTTTATAACATGTGTATGTGCGACAGTAACATTTGCATGATCATTCTATTTTTATTCATAATTGCCTTGTAATATAAAAATAAGGAGATGTGGTATGATTGCCAATGAGAGAACTATCCACCAAAGTTCAAATGAAGTGGATGTTAGCAATTAATGGCAACCATACGGCGTTCAATAATGAGAAAAATACCATACCGTATAGTCAGCTATAAAGGCCCCGACATGAAAAATATGAAACAAGTCAAACGAGAAAAAACTATCGTCCTAATTTATAACAACACAATTTACGAATAACAAATATAACAGACATGAACAAACGACAACCGCTGAACTACATAATCCTGCTTTGGGACAGGCACATTTAGAATATGGCAAGGTTAAACATGTTTGCTGGCGCCAAACAATCCCCCCTTTCCAACCTTGGAAAATGGTGAAACATTCATATGAACAAATTATTAAAAACTATATTCTAAACATGTTTAGGAAGACCAGCTCTTAAAAATGATGAGCGGAGGAGATTTATAATATTTATCATGTGTTCTAAATTTTGTGTGACATTCCAACGTTATACATCATCTGACTCTGTGCTATTGTACAGCTCCTTCCGTAATGCTACCCCAAAAGTTAGCGGCTATTCGCCTGGACTGGTTTCATATATTTACAAATTTTACTAATGGTGGTTGTACTATTTTGTTTTGTTGCTATTATATTTTTGTATGTTCAAATAGCGATTAAAACAATGAAACGCCGTCGCTCATCTGTAGTGGCTTGAAAAGCAATATAATTCTCGGTACTTTTAATATCTGTATTGAAAATGAAATAAAGCAGCTGCAATCATTTTTGATAGATTCTTCTTGTCGAAATTGCAAAACCTCTATAGCTTCTGGGGGTGCCCCCAGGCCCCTTACCCCAGTATTAATGGAGGACAAGCTATGCCACTGGTATAAAAACAAACCTATTAGGAGTACAATAACAGTATTATTCATGGTGATTATAATGATTGATTGATTAATTGGGGTTTAATTCCACTTTCAGCACTATTGTGCTATTTCGTGACGGTTAGTTTTTATTGGTAGAGGAAACCGGAATGCCCGGAGAAAACCACTGACCTTCGGTGGGATAACTGACAATCCTAGTGAATTAAGATCGGAGTCGAACGCACCTGCCAAGTGCCGGATTCCAAATAACAACCTTAGTGTTCAGACAGGCTAGTGATACAGTAGTTCGACTACTTAGACCCTGTGCATTACCAAAGTAAGTCTTAATAATTCATTACTAACAAAGAAAATAATAGACATTGAAACAAACAAATAAAAAAGCCTTAAAAAGTTTTTAGAATAAACAATACGAAACTCTTGGACATGTATGATGGCAGCCTGGTTCACAAGAATTCAATAAAGTCATGTATGCAGATACCAAATTAAGATGTTGATCTTCAAGTTTTATTCAGTTAATTAATTGGTTTCAAAGAAGTTATTTGAGAAAGTTTACGCCGCTAACAAAAAGTAACTTAACCATATCTCATTCATTCAACATACGGCATTCGTAGAAATTTCAAAAGATCTCTTACTTTATAAAATATCATACAAGATCGTTATTCGTATTGTAGTCATCATTATAATTTTTTTTATTAATAAATAGTCATAATTAAACAATTTTTATTGCGAAAATAAAAAATGATAAAAAATTGAATCTCCCTTAAACAAACGGTGTTTTTGAAACATAAAATCTTCATATTGTGTTTCCATTAACACGTGTCTAATGTCAGTAATGTCTGTTGACCAATTATATATTTATGGTAATATTCTTTTTACTAGTTATTGAAAATGTTCAGCAGCTTGATAGAAGTACTTGAATGTCGTCTATAGCAATATCACTTGTGAAATTTGTTCCACACACGGCTTCAAAGGATACCTAAAATAAAATTGAAAAAAACGTGGACTTTGATATATTATTTCATTATAATTTCTCATGTTGTGTTGACTCAATGTTTTCTTCTTAGATGTAACTTAAAAATATTATTTTAAGCTGTCGGTCCCTATATTATATACATACTGTATAGACAATATCCTTGTTTATTATTTTAAACGGTTTGTTGATGTCTTTTGGTAGTTTTTGTCGTTGGATTGCTGTTCCATTGACACATATATCACATGTTCACTTACATAAGTACATTTGAGCAAAATTTCTAAAACAAGTGTATTTAGCTGTGCAAATTTTACTGAGAAATCAAAACTTCGTACTGACCATATAATGCACTTGTAAATTTGCGATGCTTTGGAGAACACATGGACATTTTTGGTAGATTTCAAAATAGTTATTTTTAATATTTTAATAACAAACTGTCATTCTCATCGTCCAATCATAACACTTACAAATTGTCCCTCCCCTATTTTTATGATATAAATCAGATTTACGTTCATTTATGCCTGGCTATGCCAATGTATCTTTGTTTGGATATTATGCGTATTTTAAATACGTATCATTGATTTACTGTAAATTCTGAAATTAATCATCGTGTTACGTTTATTATTGCGAATCACTTATTACTGGTAAAAATGCAAGATCTAGTTAAGGATGTTCGATCCTTTGTTTCAAAATAATAAGCTTTGTAAAAGACTGTTATAAATTGAAAATTAAAAAGCAGGAAAAAAAATGATAGGTCTGCGACCTTGTTTTCGAGATATAATCAATTAAACATTTGGCGGGAAATGATTCTCTCTAGATTATTTATACATTTAACATTGGCACCTTTTTTTTCTTTCAAAAACTATGAAAAAATAACAAGGATTTTGTAAGATTTTGAAAAATAATGGCTTTAAAAACTGTATGAAATAAAATTATGAAAAGAAAAGTAAAGGTTAGTGGGAAAATGTTTTATTGGCAATACATGGATAAAACCAGAGGATTCCGAATATCTGACAAAAAGTCAAAAACAAGAGTAGCGAACATCATTAATGCCATTGCTTCTGTTCCAAAATGCATATTTAGTAAAAGACAGACCATGATACATCTTATATTTAATTTGATTCCAGACGAGTGCAGTTACAAACCTTGTATAAAACATTTGCATAGATGTCTGTTGCTTTTTATTTCTATGGTGTCATGTCATATTGACGTGTACGATCAATTTCTTTTCAGTCCTATTTTTGAATTGCTGCATACCTTTGAGCTATTGAAACTGTTAGATCGAAGGTGAAGTTCGGCAAGCTGCCATTGATTTCCCTGATTTCCCGATTTCATCCAAATACGTCTGCTTCCTTGATATACGTATAAGGTACCCATTCCATAACCATACATGTGGTAATGAAACTTTAGACATCCAGTAGATTCTACAGTTTAAACCTTATTTTACAATGTAAACTGATAAATGTTTCCAAACATAGCAGAATTGATTAACCGTTGGAAAGTACATGACATCCACTAAGAGCAACATTATAGTTCAATATTAAGAGCACTGTCAGATTTATAGCGGTTATTGCCTGTGAGATTTTAAGGATGTTCATTGGTGAAATTTGATCCGATTATGTAACTCTTTTTTATAAAAAAAAAAAACCAACCTACCTGAACGACTAAACAATAACCGAAAAACAACTTTCATGTTTAGGTTTTCCCATTTCACCCCAAAATAGTAGGTTTCTTTAAGATTCACAAGTAAGCCCCTGTAATTGAAAAAGGACTAATTCAAAACTTCGTCACTTTTTCAAACTAACGTTATTTTATTAATGATTAAATTGGGATTTATAGTTTAGTCTATTTAGTACAAATCGTCATCTGTCATAGTATGACTGTGACGTCAAAAATATGTCATAATTGAAATATTTCACCAAAAAAAAATATTTAGCAAATTAAAAATTAGTAACAGCCTTACCAAAAAAAAAAACCCTATCTTACTCAAAACCGCGTTTTGTATATATATTAGACACCTTGTGACAAAATACATTTTAAACCAAAGTATGGTCGTTTCTAATACATGTATGTAAATTTTAATGGAATTTTAAGGATCTCAGGATGAGATCATTTTAACATTTTTTGCTGCTTTTCCGTAATTGTAGAAAGTTTAAAGACTTTTGAGGAATTACATAAATACCTAACATAAAATACAATACATGTAAACAATATAAATACAAATATCTGACAAGCTTGTTCCTACTGGAATAACGATATTTGGGAAAAACTCATTACAATTTTTCCGTATTATTTGAAAACAAAATTCAAGTGGAAAGTTTACGATCATTAGATTAACAGAAAATCATACAAAAATACCATAGATTTACCAAATATGAAATCCCGTGAAAATAATCTCGCAACAGATCCTGTTTTAACGGGTGAAGATGTCTCAAAATACAAGTAGTAGTCGCCTTTATAAGCCGAGAAAGGACCAGTATCAATACTACTAGTAGAGTTCTGAAAAACAAATATACATAATACTTACTGTTAATAAAGTGAAACTGCTATACAAAAACACAATACACGTACCATCTGCACAACAAATATACCTTTTAATGTATATCAACTAAATGAGACATCAACCCAACAATCAAATATATGTGTATTTTTGTGGAACAAGTAATCAATATGCATGAGTGCTACAAATATTCCATATATTTACTTTTGAACGAGACAGCAACCCACCTTCACAATAGACGCAGGGTTCTGTGCTCTCGTGATTTTATGCAATTAATGTGTTAATTAGAACAAAACAGTTTCTATTACACTATTTTGGGAGAGCCTACATAATATTATACACATGCACATTTTAATTAGTCATTATTAAACCTGATTGAATTACATGTATCTCCATCTGGAAATAACGTTAAACTTCGCATTTTATTTCACCGTTTGCGTTCTATGATAGTTGGTTTTTTTATAACGTATAATAATAAGAACAAGAGGATTTGCTTACCTGTCAAAATTTGCTGTTAATTTTAAGCAAAATACATTAAACAATATAAATACAAATATCTGACAAGCTTGTTCCTATTTGAATAACGATATTTGGGAAAAAACGCATTCAAATTTTTCCGTATTATTTGAAAACAAAACTCAAGTCGAAAGTTAGTTTAAAAGAAATTCATGCAAAAAGAACTGTTACAATAGTTTTACCAATTATGAAGTCTCGTGAAAATAATTTCGCAACAGATCCTGTTTTTTACTATCTATTACGTTTTTCGAGGCACACACTCGTAATAAGTAAAATCGATCATCATTTAACATTTAAGGGGTCAATAGACCATTCCGGCCATCTGACTTATTTGTAGATCTTAATATGCTGAATATTTTCTATTGTACATTTTCTTTCTATCTATTATAGATTTTGCAAAAAAAATAATAATCCGTAATAAGTAAAATCGATCATCATTTAACTTCTATAAGGAGACATGCATTTTTCAAGATTTTTTATTGTTGATAACTTTTGCTGTTCAACTATATGTTATAGTATTGGAGTTCAAAGGCGAAAAGAGCATTTAAACCATACTAAAGGTCAATTGACAATTTCGACCATATTTGACTGATTTGTAGATCTTATTATGCTAAACATTTCTGCTATTATATACAAGTTCTCTCTATCTATAATAGTTTGTGAAAAAGATGGGTAACAATAGTCTTACAGATGCAATAACTCCTATAAGGGGTCAATAGACCATTCCGGACATCTGACTTATTTGTAGATCTTAATATGCTGAATATTTTCTATTGGAAATTTTCTTTCTATCTATTATAGATTCTGCAAAAAAATAATAATCCGTAATAAGTAAAATCGATCATCATTTAACCTCTATAAGGAGGCAGCATTTTTCAAGATTTTTTATTGTTGATAACTTTTGCTGTTCAACTATCTGTTATAGTATTGGAGTTCAAAGGCAAAAAGAGCATTTAAACCATACTAAAGGTCAATTGACAATTTCGACCATATTTGACTGATTTGTAGATCTTATTATGCTTAACATTTCTGCTATATACAAGTTCTCTCTATCTATAATAGTTTGTGAAAATTAAAAGAAGGGTAACAATAGTCTTACAGATGCAATAACTCCTATAAGGGTTCAATTGACCATTCCGGCCATCTGACTTATTTTTAGATCTTAATATGCTGAATATTTTCTATTGTACATTTTCTTTCTATCTATTATAGATCCTGCAAAAAACCCAAAACTGGTAAAAGTCCTCTGTTTATTTTGTAAAAATAAAGAAAAATGCTGAATTAATTCAGTTTTTTTAAACTACTAATATTTTCTGTAGAGAAAACATCGTACACTACCAATAAACAAACATTATAATTTTGGAGAAGCTTTACAATAAAATTGCTAACGTATGCTCTCCAAATTAAAGTTGTTTCTCGGGTATGTAAATACTTTTTAAAACCAAAATATACTTAAAATTGATCCTTTAAATAAACTGATTCTAAAAGATTATCAATTTAGCACTGTCATACTAAAGATCTATGAATATTGTTTTTATCATTACTCGCATTGATTTTGGTATCACCTCATTAAAACATAACTTAATATGTATTGCTTGTATACAGTTATTGACATTTACGGCTCTACGTCCTATCGATACTCACATTTTGGCATTGTAAAAGGACTAAGACTATTTATGACGTCTTTGCAATAATTACATTGGATGTGTACTTATTGATACTTTGTCTTGGATACACGTTTTTGTTTTATAAGTGATTGATTTGGCTCTCAGATCGGTACTAACTGTCTAAAGTGTTTCTGTTAGTTGTTTTTGTTATTCGGTCGATCTGATGAGACTATCTCTTTTCAATTCATTTTACAGTCTCTTCTTATGTTGTGCTGTTACATCACTGTCCCAAGTAAGGGATTGGCAGGGAGCCCGCAAACATGTTTAACTCTACCACATTCTGTATATGTTTATTCCAAATCAGAAGCATGCAATTCAGTGCACGTGGTTGTTGTTTGTTGCTGTATATTATTTTGTTTATCATTTATCAATTTATACATAAATCGGGACGTCGATTTCTACGTTTGAATTAATTAACATTTTGTAATGTCGGGCTTGTTATAGTAAAATTAAGAAAGGACATGGGGAATGTGTTAAAGAGACAACAACCCGACCAAAGAGCTGAAAACAACCGAAGGCCATCAATGGGTCTTCAACACAGCGAGAAAATCTCGCACCCGGAAGCTGGCTTCAGCTTGCCCCTTAACAAAAAAATGTACTAGTTCAGAGTAAATGGACATCACACTAAACTCCGAAACATATAAATGAACTAAAATTAAAACAACATACAAGACTAACAAAGGCCAGAGGTTCCTGACTTGGGATAGGCGCAAACATGCGTTGAGGTTAAACATGTTTTGTGAGATCTCAACCCTACCTCTATACCTCTAGCCAATGTAGAATAAACAAACACACTGCAATACGCACAGTAAAACTCAGTTTTTACTTAAAAGAAGTCTGAGTCCGATGTCAGAATAAGTAACAGAAAAACAAGGCAAAATGACAATGATACATTAATTAACAAAGAACTTCTAGCAGTTACTGACATGCCAGCTCCAAACCACAATAAAAATGATTGAAAGATTATGTCTTCATCAGATGAAAATCAAGCACAATCCCTCCCGTTAGGGGTTTAGTATCATACCATCATAAGATATATGAGAAGAAGATAACCCGTATCATGCCAACAACTGGTTTTAGAAATGTGTTTATTTTCGATGCAAAGACGTCGACCCTATGAGTGTATCAATATTAATTCAAAAATATGCCATCTTTAATGACCTGACAACAGTATCGTAACTATATCCCTTCTGAATAAGTCTGTTTAAAGGTTTGGTTAGCCTTTGGGGTGAATGGCGACATTTTTTGTGCTTTGTATAGAATATTATCATAAAAAATTGGATGTGAAGTACCTGAACCTATAAGATGTCTGCATATTGATTTATATTTACGAATGCTGTCCTTGTACCGATGATAAAATTTAGTAAATTTTTGGACTAGTTTGTGATATCGAAAACCCTGGTGTAATAATTTTTCAGTTATACAGAGATTTCTTTCGCTAAAATCAAATACGTTGTAACATGCACGAGCGAATCGAACAAGTTCAAGTTGAGATATATAAACACCCTAAGATGGTGACAAGGGAACGTCACCATCTAAAAATGTATAATTAATAGGAAATGAAAAATCATCTCTTTTATCGTGAAGTTAGGTATTAAGCTTCCCGTTTAAGATATAGATATCAAGATCGAGGAAAGGGCAGTGTTCATTGTTAGTATTAGCTTTATTTAAAGTCAGTTCAGCAGGACGAATCTCTTTAGTGTACATACTGAAGTCGTCATTATTGAGAGCCAATATATCATCCAAAAATCTAAAAGTGTTATTAAATTTAAGTATCAGATGATGTTTCGATAGGTCTTTTCTGATTTTAGTCATAAATTGTAACTCATAACCATACAGAAACAGGTCCCACATAAGTGGTGCACAGTTAGTCCCCATTAGTTATATATAATAGTTTGCTATTCGGTATGGGGTTTACTCACTGTTGATGGTCGTACGGAGACCCATAGTTGCAAATATCCATTTCATTTGATCTGTGGTAGATATTTGTTTCATTGGCAATCATATCGCAACTCCTTATCTTATAATTAAAGTCGATGCAAAACAAGGAAAATCAAGAAAATTTACAAAATATTTATTTGTTGACATCGTAACTGTTTTATATCTGTGAGTTTTCTTTGAAGACCTTAACCTTATTATCTTCGACAAAAAAGTTGAAATTTTCCCTGTAAATTTTTTTCCGCCTCATTTTTACTTTTAATTTAGTAATTCTAGCTGTCTCTGGTTTTGTTTTTTTACTTATAAGGTCCTTTTGAGTTAAATCAGCTCTTCAATGTTTGGATTAGGACTTAAATTTGTTAATATTTCGCCTCGAGCACCACTGAAGAGACATTAATCGTCATGAAACGCCGCTGGTGCAGTAAAACTGGTTACGTTAATGATATTTTGCCAACATTTAATATTTTATATTTTTAGAACCTTATAAGGACATTATCGCCCCAACTCTTTTAGAATGTTTAGTACCGAATGTATTGTCCAGTTGTGATCGCTGTTGAGATCCTGAATGAACATGGTCTGCTACATAAACTGGAAATAGAAAAACGTAAATTACGTATACCTATGATAATTTAACAGCTATGAACAATTACAAGTCACCGTACGTCATTCAAAAATGAACCAAATTAATTTTATCATGAGTATTTCTAACAGCGCATTATGTAATATGAAAATTACTCTAGGGGCTTTACAACATAATATCAATTAACAGATAAAAGTATTAAAAACAAATATGACAGCTCATGATAAAATTAAGCGTATAAGAAATGATCACTACTAACTTATAAAAAGATGAAAGAAAATGTTAAAATTTATAATAAAATGATTTCAGATATCTTACATTATAAATCTATACTAGTACATTTACTCGTAAACAACAAAATGTTGAATATTATCTTTAAAATGTTTGTTGTAACTTCAGTTCATTGTCTTTTAAATTATTGATTTTTGATTATTCTGCACGAGCAAATGGCATTTAAAAAAAATTGTCTCTCGCAAAGCCATGAGATAGTGTAAAATGTTTCCCTCATATTAACCAATCAAAATCTGTCATTTTAACATGAAGTAAAGTAAAGTGAGTATCAGGCGATTAACAGATTAAAATATTATACGGCTCATTGATTGAGTGTTGCTTAATGTACACCCTGTGGCAAGTATATTCGAAGGGCGAAAAAACGATAACAATTAACCCAGCAAACATAGAGCGTAACACTCTCCCTTAACGAGACATGTTTTAATCAATACTGGATAACTCGGTTCAAATACTCGCGAGTACTCGAATACTTCGTAGCAACAGTTTTAAATGTAGAACTTCTTTGTTATTGCATTGTCCCGTACAGCCAGCAGATGCCCTTCTTATAAACATTGGTCAAACTACCGGATGGAAGAAGTCCAGAGACGACAACATTTATATACCATTATGGTATACATTTTGTATAGACACCCGTATATAACTGTTAAAGACTTAATGTTGCTCTATTGATGCTGTTCTGTATTTTTATCTTTTGTTTACTGTCTTAAGGGCGTACACCGCATATAGTTTTATTCATATTTAATGAAAATAACGCTTACATGAATGGCTATTATGATTATGAATATGCACGTAAAATGAGGGTATTATTTCTTACTTTCACATTGTAATCCTGAAAATCCGTTTAAACAAGTACAAGAAAAAATCGAACCGTTCACTAAACAATTCCCACCGTGTTCGCATGGTAATCTGGAACATGGCGTTACTAGAAAAGTAAAAATATAGGACATGTGTATATTTAAGTATTTGATTCATTATGAGCTAACCGTATTGTGAAAAATAAAACATGAACCAAGTTGCAGTAATTAAGTCACACAGAAGTCTTCTTTCACCTGACGGTTTAAGAATCCTTATTTTTGTTGAACGGTTCATGATTGTTGTTTCACAGAGAAAAGTACGCATTGTTGAATGTTTCTGAAAATGTAATGCTGCTGCTATATTCCTTTAGAATGATATTACATGTACATTCAGTAATCGTGGTTATTTTTATTGTACTTTCGAATATTTATAAAAATCTAGTTTTTAAACAACCTTAAAAAGTTATGTTTTGATATTGACGAATTAAAACTTTAAATCGGAACTCCAATATTTTAAGACAATTTTTATCCATTAGATAACCCATTAGTTTAACGATGAATGCGCACCTTATAACGGACATACATGTCCTTTTTTTTTTGCTGTTTCGCGAAATTTACAAAATGTCTTAGAAAAAAATTACTGCTATATTTCATATACTTACTTGTACAATTGTCACCAGTAAATCCATTTTTACATGCACATTTTGGCTGAAATTCATCCAGAAAACACGTTCCACTATTGTCATAGCTATAGTTAACACATGGGGTACCTGTAAAATATGGTATTTTAAAAGATTGTTATCACGTATATTGACTTAATTGTCGTATAATGCCCTCAAACTGGGTTTTCCCCCTCATTTTCCGTGTTGTGTGTAAGGTTGCTATTTAATAGACGTATATTTCACATGTCATTTCATTTATATTGAACTCATTGTTTCTCTGACTGCATGGATTTGTTTTGTCTTATAAAAAATTAAAAGCATTAAATAAAGGTAAAAATAAGTTCTTAAATTCAGCGGTGTTTCATAAAGAATACAACACTGTCTGTAATATTAAATATCACTTATAAATTAAGCGGTGTACCAAGTCAGTAATATAACAGCTGTTTTCCATTCGTTTGATGCGTTTGAGCTTTTGATTTTGCTATTTGTTAAGGGATTTTTTTTAATTTTCCTTAGAGTTCGGTATTTTTGATATTTTACTTTTTACAGAAGGCAACCATTTAAGCGCAAAAATCATATCACGTGTCAACTGTCGATTTTGGACGTCCAACTTATTTGTGGATCTTGTATAGCTGATTGTGTATGCTCTTTACAATTTCTATACGTTGTAGTTTTTAATATTAAAACCATAAAGTAAACATCGTCATTAACGGCAATAATTCCTATAGAAGTCTACTGCCAATTTTGGCCACATTGTCCCATTCGATAGGGGACTTTCCGTTTTGAATATTCCTTTGAGTTCGATATTTTTGTTATTCTATTTTTTTCTAGATCTTGACAGTCATGCAATGTATCGTTTCTCTATATCTACTATAGATTTCAAAGTCGATAGCCAAAACTGCCTCATTTCCCTAAAAGGACATTTCACGGACAATTACTCCAAAAGAGTTAATCCAATGTGTGTTTAATTTTGAGATATGAAGCAAAAATTCTGTTTTTCTCTTATGTTCTATTTCAAACTGTTGTGGCAAGCCAACAATATGATGGAGAACATTTGTAGTGTATACGCAATACATCATTTCTGCCAAATTTCAAAACATTTGGTTTTGTGGAATTCAGGGAGAATGATTTTTTCTAGAACAACTGGACAGTCGTAGACGATGCTCGCAAAGTCATGGTAGGATGAACATACAAAACCAACTGCCTAAGAAGGTGATGCACAAATTTAATTAAATTCGAAATGAAGACCACGAACAACAACAGTCCATTTGCACATGTACAACCAAGCCAGGGAAGACGAATGTAAACAGTATATGTTGTACTGTCCCATATTTTGGTAATTCCTCTTAGCCTTTTTATCTTTTAATTGTAGTAAATCAAATGAAACCAAACACGATTTATCTAAAATAAGAAGATGATTATGATTGCAAAACAAAATAATTACAAAAATACAACACTCCAAGGTTAGTTCAAAATAGGGGAAGACCATAAAATCAAACGTTAGACTTTTTCAATCAATAAAACGAATGGAAAACAACTGGCATATTCCTGACAGTTACAGGCCTTTCCTCCCCCTCCAAAAAAAATGGTGCATTAAACCTGGTTTTAATGTGTGCTAAACCTCTAACATATTTTGCAAAATGAGGCAACTATCCACGAGAGACCGAATTAGTTAGTTGTAAGCAACAGTTTATATCAATTAAGGAAATGTGGTATGATTGCCAATGGTGTGGATTGAAGCAACTAAATAAGTCACATTACGACATTCAACAATGAGCAAAGCCCAAAGCGTAACGTCAGCTATAAATGGCCTTCGACATGACAAAATTTGGGACAATTCAAACTGAAATAAAACAAAGGCCAGATGTATGACAAAACAATGAATAAAACATATAATGACAGACAACAACTAACCTCACACACTGAACTACGAGTTCCTGACTTGGCACGTGCACATATAAGCGCTTATTTCCCTTACCTAGGCCAGGTGTAACTGCACAACACAAGAACGAACTGTAGATATGAGTTGGAAATGACTTTACCCATTAGATTGGCACGAAACCCCAAAACAACAAGCATAAGGACAAATAACACAAAGTACCATAGAGTACTCAAAGATATTGAGAGCTTGTTCAAAACCAATAACTATTAATGAATAAATCATGTTTTCGTAGACTAAAGTATCTATCAGTACACATCAAACGGATTTAGTGTAAAGACGTCATCAACCTGTTTTGTTTTTTTTTTCTTTTTTCAAAAGGCTAGACGTTATTTGTCTAAAATAAATGCACAATAAATTGACATAGGCATTTTGAAACTAAGTTATCGAATAAGATGTGGTTACAAAGAAACAAGTTTCATCAAATTAAAGTAGAAATAGAAGAAATAATTTGTTATTATGAATTTTATTCGTAATACGGAATTCCAAAATTCGTAATAACAAATTGATTATGATAATTCTATAAATAATAAAACCAATTATTAATTCATTTTTCAAAAGACCACACAATGCGCTTTTGACGAAATTGAATTATTGAAATGTCTTATATCATCTTCCAATATTAACAAGCTTTCAAATTAAAAAAAAAAATGAATATACTTGTACCTTCACATTTCAATCCATAAAAACCATCATGGCAGTTGCAGATTGCTTTGTCTCCGGAAACAGAACAATTCCCATTATGAAGACACTGTACATATTCACATGGAGACGCTATAAATAAAGTTACATAATTTATGTAATTGCTGCATTTAAGTACACAGTGCAAAAAGGAAATTATTTTTACTTATAAGAAAAAAATCATATTCATTAAACAATGATATTTTTTTTATGGCTTGAACACTAAATACATAAAAATAAATAACAAACAAGAATTAATGCAGCCAAAACATGTGATCATTTCCTTTTGAATTACAGTTTAAGCATATTTCATTATGCAAGAATAACAAACGACATTGTACATAAGTAATGAAAAATATCATAAAGACATATCTCCCAATTCATCAACTAAGGGTTGACCGGATATAAAGTTTTTTTCTCCCCTACACTTCTTTTTGTTTAATTCAAATTTAAACCGTGGTTTGGTTGAGTTGATGGTAATTGGTATTGGTTGTTTTTGTTTTTGACACGCATATAAAAAACCTAAATAGTTCTCTCAATCTTTGCTTTCATTTTGCATAAAGTAAGTTTCTTACCCTTTGTTGATAGCATCAACCACAAAAGAGCTGACATTAACCCAACAATTACAAAGGCAGATACTACACATGAGGTTCTCCATTTTCTGCTTACTACTTTCAAATCCACCAGTTGTTTTGTAGGTAGCTGTAAGTCGATGTCTTTTGCGTTTTCATTTCTGTTGTTCCCAAACTTTTTCTTGTGTGAATTTCTAGATTTACTCTTACCACGTTCATTCCAACCTGTATATTTATTTTGATTCTTTTTTTCTTCCGACGGATTATTAACGTATTTGGCTATTTCCTCATAGTCTGGTTGATCATCATCTTCATCCCAAACAGCAGTTACTTTTCTGTCAAACTTTTCATTTTCATAAGTTCGCAATCCCTTTCTATAGTTAACAGCCATGCAATTCAAAATTTAATATTAACACAACTTTCTATAAAAGATAAGTTGACCTGTTGTATCACAGAATGAACCTGGAGCTCTTTTATATAGAAATTAAAACTTCCTTGTTTACTTTCGTTAGAAGTAAAATGGACCATTGCAATATTTATATTAAGCTGCACTAGCAAGTATAATTACTCGAAACTGAGGCGCCGTATATGGAAAATAACGATATCTTTATTATTTGGTTGAATCAGATACTGCTGTTTCCTATTTGAATTAACGGAAACCCGGGAGAAAACTAATGATAATGCTGATTGAAGATAGCCATCAAATCAAAATAAAAAAATAGTTGAACTTTCACCCATTGATATATAACTATGATTCATTTTGCTTCAAATCTGTAGATTATCATGCTCTTAACAAGCTTTGTGCAAATAAGGCAGTTCTTTACGGATACAACCTACATGTACTTGGTGCAGTGAAACATCATAAACGACTTGATTTATTTATAAAAAAAATAAAAATAATTAATGTAATGTAACAGGAAATCAAGTATTATATATTCCTTCCCTAATCAAATTAATAAAAAACAAGTTTAGGTAAAAATATTTTAAACAAATATTATAATTGTTTTATATCTTAAATAGTTTGATACTATATTTGTTTATATGATGTAAAATGCTGAAATCTTATGTTATAACCGCGCGCGGTTGTTATAACTGTGAAAAAGTTATGATTGCCAATGAGATAATAATCCAACAGAGATTAAATGACGTGGATGTGTGCAAATATAGGTGACAGTACGGCATTCAACAAAACTATACCGTATAGTTAGCTATAAGCGATTCCGACAAAACAAAATTAACACAATTTAACAAGAAAACCAACGGCGTTATTTATGATAAAACAGTACACAGAAAACAGTTATAACACACAGCAACAATCGACAACCAAGGAATAACTGGCTGCCAACTTTGGAAAGGACCATACACATTTTTTTCGGGGTTAAAAATGTTTGCAAGCGCTGAACCCTCCCCCAAACTAGAACAGTTGTGCTACGGAGAAACAAAAGAAAATTCAGTTGGAAAGGGTTTGACCAATCAGATCGATACGTAGCACAAGAAGTTTATACAAATAACAAAAAAAAATGAAAGACACAAGTTTCTGATTTTACAGTACGGGCAGTCACTGAGTGCAAGTTCGGTAGACGTTAATAGACATCAGCCTCCTGTTTGACATCAGTATTTATATATTTGAATGTTGTCTTACCAATTAACATTAATCTTCAGATTACTTACATTTAGTTATACATGTTATATAAAAGACAACAAAACATGCCAAAATAACTTCTTCATTTTGAGGTCTTGTCATTGATATTCAGATATGATTGATATATATTGACTTAACTGAAAAAATCGATACGAGGCACAAAAATATCTAACATAAAACATTTGAAAAAGGACGTTAATGTATTTAAGGTATTTAAAGATGTTACTGCTCATATATATTCTGATTAAAAACAAACTATGCGTTAAATAACCTTTTTGTGTCAAATACATATATTTCGACTTTCTGCACTAAAGTGTCTAGATCATATTAACATGTGGCCGGATTTGCTTACCCTTTCGGAGCCACTGAGATCTCACCTGGTTTTGGTGGGGTTCGTTTTTCCATTTTTGCTATGACATTGTCGATTTATGAGCTTTAATGTCCTCTGAATCTTTCGCCTCTCTTTTACTATTTTTACAATGTCAAGGGGTTAATAAATTAAGGTCAAATCAGCTGTAAATAGACTGAAATTTTACTATTTTCGGATGTTATCTGTTCAGACATATTTCTAACTTGTACTAAACTTTGTTTAATAATTTCCAATCAAGTGAGCAAGACCCTCTTGATTTATTATGTCATAGGTTAAGGTCACAACAGATTTCGAATGATTGAAAGTGAGGCAACATTTTGGCCGAAAACAAAAATGATCTTTTGAACCCTATGTCGATCTTATACCAAACGTAGGTTGATAATCCAACATTTAGTTTTAAAAAAATAAATTAATTTGGGTAAACAGGTCAAGTTCACAGCAGCTATTTAAAATAGACTGAAATCATGAAAACAAATTTGGTTCCTGAATTTTATCTTTTGATCCAAATTAAACTTGAAACTGCCACCTATTATTTCATATGTAAGCGAAATAAACTGACGGGTAAAGTTATCAAAAAGAATGAATTCATCATTCATCTTTTAAAAAAAATACGTATCTGGGTAAGTCAGAAAATAATGAAATATATTGCACTATTGTGTCAGCAGAGAAAAGGACGAAGTCAATGTTCTGTTGAAAATTTACGAAATACGTTGGAAGGGGCTATGCAACCTAAAAAGGTGCAAACAATCTCTTTTTTTAAATTTCGTATCACGTAATAACGTTAGTGTTAAAGAGTCATATTTTTGTTTTCATTTAGAACAGACGACATGCCATTTTTTATCACTTATACAAAAGCTTGAGCTGACAATACAAAAAATGTACTTTTCTAAACAACTCACTTACTTCTTTTCGAAAATAGCTTCATTATAATAACAGCAAAAAGCAAATTTAAGCATTTTTTTATAACAGCTGTTTTACCATGTTCATGTTTGGAGAAAAACGGCATTTAAAACAATTATACATGGACCGCATTAAATAAAATCAAATTGTTAACAGATTATTTTCATTAACTAGGGTCATCGTGACATCGTTTGTACCAATTGAATCAGTCTATGGAATGTGCGAGTGTCATGTCGGTTCCTTTCGTAGCTGACTGCGAATGGTATGTGTTTAGCTCATTGTTGAAGGCCTCCGTTGACTATTATTGCTTAAATTCGAGCCATATTAGACTCTGATGGATAGTTGTTCTGTTGGTAATCACATCCCATCTCCTTATTTTATATTATGCACGAAATCTCAGTGTCAGTGATCATAATTTAAATATTCAATCTAACCTGTCATGAATACATGCCGATGTTTCTTAATTGTCAAATGCATATTGAAATATTGTCGTAATTGTTTTCATATGAGAAGAGTAAAGCATTTATAAGTTTTTCATAATAAAGACAATCGCTATACTGTTAGAAAAATATCGCACTGATATACGAAAATATAGCATAATCAATCTATGACACGTGATTATGGCTTAAAATGCAATCGAATACGTCGTTAGTGCATTCCACTGTCTTTGAAACATGATTGTCTTAGTATAGTTCACTTGAAATTATAGATGGTATAAATAGGTTTCATTTAATGCAATTTAAAATTGAGAATGGAAACGGGGAATGTGTAAAAGAGACAACAACCCGACCAAAGAGCAGAAAACAGCCCAAGGCCACCAATAGGTCTTCAACACAGCGGGAAAATCCCGCACCCGGAGGCTGGCTTCAACTGGCCCCTAAACAAAAATGTGTAATAGTTCAGTGAAAATGGACGTCACACTAAACTCCGAAAAATATAAATGAACCAAAATTTAAAAAAAACATACACGACTAACAAGGTCAGAGGCTCCTGACTTGGGACAGGTGTTAAAATACGGCGGGGTTAACCATGTTTTGTGAGATCTCAACACTCCCCCTATACCTATAGTCAATGTAGAATAAACAAACACACTGCAATACGCACAGTAAAACTCAGTTTAAAAGAAGTCAGAGTCCGATGTCAGAACAGGTAACAGAAGAAACTAAGCAAAATGACAATGATACACAAATTAACAAAGGACTACTAGCAGTTACTGACATGCCAGCTCCAGACCTCAATTTAACTGATTGAAAGATTGTGTCTTCATCATATGAAAATCAAGCACAATCCCTCCTGTTAGGGGTTTAGTATCATACCATCATAAAATATATGAGAAGAACATAACCCGTATCATGCCAACAACTAGTTTTATAATAAATGTGTTTATTTCCGATGCAAAGACCCTATGAATGAATCAATATTAATTCAAAAAAATGTCATCTTTAATGACCCAACAACAGTATCGTTTGTCCTGTTAAATACGTCCCTGTTTAAGTACGGAACAAAATTATTTACCGCTAAATCTATTTCTTCTTTTTACAAATGCGTTATTAGTCTGCGATTTTCCCGCAATGCATATCGTTTTTTGAGTCGCACTTTCCATAGACTTTTCAATGATTTACAAGACATCTTTTCGATGTAAATTGGACTTGGAACCGAATTTGGGAGTGGAGCGTTCTGATTTTGCAACTTCGGAAATCCCCAAAGGCACCAATCATCTGAACCCATACTTAATGTCAACAATGGAGCATATCCATTATTATCAAGTCTATAAAAGTCGATATCCGTTAACTAGTTAATATAATAAATTGGAATAAATTTGGTTGTGTATTGAAATTAAAGAATTCAGAATTACTTCATGCTATGCTTGATCTGCATGCTTTTCAGGTAGATGGGATGAATTGGTTTTTATGAAGTACCCTCTTAACAGTACCGGATTGTTAGTCAAGCTGAATTCAGCCGGGTCAGGTAAAAATGAAACGTGTGAGGTCCAAGGGGAAGTAGTGTATATAAAGATAAGAAGATGTGGTATGATTGCCAACGAGACAACTCATCACAAGAGACCAAATGACATCGAAATTAACAACTATAGGTCAATGTAAGGCCTTCAACAATGAGTGGTCTCTTAGACAACACTTTTGTCAACAGATTTGTTCACAAGGGAGATTTTGTTAGGTGTCACCTCGAGTCGTTTTTCCAATGAACGTTGAAATGTATGCCCTTTAATATTTATATAAATTACTTCAGAGGAAGAAGAAACATGAAAATTGAACATCAGATCAATTTCTTCTGTCGCTCATGTTTCTCGGCTGATCGGCACATTATTAACCCTTTCTTAGTTACCTTCCATATATCAAAACTTTGAAATAATTTTCCATAGTGTTCATTGGATATAACATACTTTGTATCACTGCCAACATCAACGCTAATGATTTAAAACCGTCTAGTCACCGATTTTTAGATCCTGAAATGATTAACACGACGGGGACCTCCAGAGAAGCAGGAACATTTACTGCTTAACCTTCTGGGGTATCCGAGTTTCTCGTTGTTCGTTTTTGTT